GTAATTTCGTTCCGGCAATAATGTCCCCATGCCGGGCACAACTAAATTTGTTCCGGCAATAATGTCCCCATGCCGGATACCTGTAATTTCGTTCCGGCAATAATGTCCCCCATGCCGGGCACAACTAAATTCGTTCCGGCAATAATGTCCCCCATGCCGGATACCTGTAATTTCGTTCCGGCAATAATGTCCCCCATGCCGGATACCTGTAATTTCGTTCCGGCAATAATGTCCCCCATGCCGGGCACAACTAAATTCGTTCCGGCAATAAGGTCCCCCATGCCGGATACCTGTAATTTCGTTCCGGGAATAATGTCCCCCATGCCGGGCACAACTAAATTCGTTCCGGCAATAAGGTCCCCCATGCCGGATACCTGTAATTTCGTTCCGGCAATAATGTCCCCCATGCCGGGCACAACTAAATTCGTTCCGGCAATAAGGTCCCCCATGCCGGATACCTGTAATTTCGTTCCGGGAATAATGTCCCCCATGCCGGGCACAACTAAATTCGTTCCGGCAATAATGTCCCCCATGCCGGATACCCGTAATTTCGTTCCGGCAATAATGTCCCCCATGCCGGGCACAACTAAATTCGTTCCGGCAATAAGGTCCCCCATGCCGGATACCTGTAATTTCGTTCCGGGAATAATGTCCCCCATGCCGGGCACAACTAAATTCGTTCCGGCAATAATGTCCCCCATGCCGGATACCTGTAATTTCGTTCCGGCAATAATGTCCCCCATGCCGGGCACAACTAAATTCGTTCCGGCAATAAGGTCCCCCATGCCGGATACCTGTAATTTCGTTCCGGCAATAATGTCCCCCATGCCGGGCACAACTAAATTTGTTCCGGCAATAATGTCCCCCATGCCGGATACCTGTAATTTCGTTCCGGCAATAATGTCCCCCATGCCGGGCACAACTAAATTCGTTCCGGCAATAATGTCCCCCATGCCGGATACCTGTAATTTCGTTCCGGCAATAATGTCCCCCATGCCGGGCACAACTAAATTTGTTCCGGCAATAATGTCCCCCATGCCGGATACCTGTAATTTCGTTCCGGCAATAATGTCCCCCATGCCGGGCACAACTAAATTCGTTCCGGCAATAATGTCCCCCATGCCGGATACCTGTAATTTCGTTCCGGGAATAATGTCCCCCATGCCGGACACCAAGAAATTCGTTCCGGCAATAATGTCCCCCATGCCGGGCACAACTAAATTCGTTCCGGCAATAATGTCCCCCATGCCGGGCACCACTAAATTCGTTCCGGCAATAATGTCCCCCATGCCGAACACCATTATATTCGTTTCGGCATTAATGTCCCCCATGCCGAACACCACTAAATTCGTTCCGGCAATAATGTACCCCATGCCGGATACTAGTAATTTCGTTCCGGCAATAATGTCCCTTCGGTGACTGATGTCCTCAGCTGTTTTGGACTGGTAACGCTGTGGTAACCGCTGGTGGCAGCTTTTCAAAGGTCACCGATCGCCCTGAAAATTAGCTTTCCGTTGTAGATTCCCCACGTCACCATTCTGACCAAAGGGTTACCGTTTTGGAGATGGTGGCAGGGTGACACGGCAAAAATGTCCGGGGGGACCGGGGGGACATTTTTGCCGGTCACATACGAGCATGATACAGTCATATACGGAAATCGATTATATTTTGCTGTTTACGCAGTCAAATGCGGCGCTTATTGGTCCCTTTTATTGGTGACGAAACCGTGGACGGAAGCGTCCACAGTGTTTATGCTATTAATTTTTTGCCGTTGTCCAGATTTCGCCGCCATGAATGAATATCATCTGGCCATCGCTTACGGCTTCCAAACATCTATTTATTTGCCGTAAGACTGACACTGTATTTGGCTTATTTAGCTACCTAGAAAACATAAAAATCCGTAATGTCCTTCTATCCTATAATTCTTTGTAGCTGTCAAGGTTTTGCAACCAAAAGTAAATATTGTCTGGCCACTGCGCACTGCTTTTGATCACCTATTTAAATATTGTATAATTGACACTGAAGCTGACTTGCTTTAGTGCTTCACAGAAGTAAAAATCCAGATGGTCCGAAGTAAAAATCCAGATTTTTTTGCGATGCTCCAATTTCCCGTTCAGAGAAAAGCTCATCAAGCCAATTTTAGTTCCCTTTGCAAGATTTTTCCATGATGCACTTCCAGGGGAGATCCCGATCTCGATGATCGCGCAGCAGCACCTTGTCTCATTCGCGTGCCGTGGTGACTCGATGGATGGAATAGTCGAAAATTGTCCTGGTCGAGGTCAAAGGCAGTGCTGATGGTGGACGGTGTCCAGTGACTGTAGGATCAAAAAATCCAAAATCGAACAGTAAACCGCATTCCCGACACTTAACGGGTGTTTCCGCTTTTGCTCACCATCTTCGGATTCTTCGGTACTCTTGCGCAACAGCTCATAAAGACAAGATCCCGTATTCTTTTTTCGAACACATTTAACTGCGGTAAGAATAATATTACAGACTGTGGACATTGATCAGAATAACCGGAATAATCGATTATGGGAGCACTGTAATTACTGTGGCACAATTCGCCACTATGGTAAGGTAACTGTGAATCACGACGGAGGAAAGACATGGCATTTCTAGGTGTGGGAAGTTTGCTCTCTCTGCTCTGTAGTCTGTGGCAAGGAGAATCTAAGTGCTTGTTACTGATGTATATGTACGTGCAAGCAGGATTTTTGAACTGTGTTGCGAAAAAATTCCGGTAGTGCGCAAAACCAGCAACAAGGACATTTGATGTTTACCGTAGCGTTGGGAAAGTACATAGAAAAAGAGACAAAAATAATTGGAAAAACCATGTGGTTCACCAAATGAGTCCCGTAAAAAAGTAATATTTAACCGTATACGCCAGCAATCACCATTCAACGCTAGTCATGGGTCATGACTTGATAGTTTTCCGCTTCCACCAATGAGATGAATCGAAGTACCTACAACGAGGAGAAGGCCAAGAAAGTGAGAAAGGTGACTATTCTGTCTATTTACAAACACCACAACAGTCTCTGTGCTGCAGTGCATAATGGCATCGGATTGAAACGGGAGGATATGCTTGTGGAACCGTCGTCGGTGCCAAAATTTCCCATTCTGCGCGGACTATATCCGATTCTGAATTTATTTTAAGTATGAAGATTGTGTTCTTGGTCTGGCAGGGTTTGCGTCAGTTTTATCGAATTTTGGATTCAATTGCAATAAGTTTTCAAATTTATATCCAGGATTTGAGAAAAAACGGCTGGTTTCTTACTCACTAAAAATATAACGATTATCATGAGACGTTGTCACGTTAATAATGGCAGCCGTTGCGTGAGAAAAAAGGCAAAAGCCGGGAAAACTGTGACGAAGCGCCCGCGGACGACAATGACTACCGGTTGCGTAATCCGAAGACTCTGGCAGCTTTGATTCCGATGAATAAGAACTGGTACGATTGCGAACTCGTTAGAATTTGAGAGAGAGCCGTCTTGTAGCTCGCTTTTTGTACCATGCTGAAAAAATCACGCGAGATATCGCGTTAAACGTTTATACTGCTGTTCCTGTTCATAATCGTCTAGAAAGATCCTTCGTTTAGATTTTGTTGACAGAACGACCGTCGTTCCGAGTTCCATGCAGCAGATTTTTGTGCTTATGACGTAACTCCGCACCCTTACTTAGTTTTGCGACACCCGGAGATTGGGCGATGTAACGCCATCTTACCGACGTTTCGTAATTAAAAATGTTGCGCTCAGTGCAAAGCTGGGACAGAGTCAATGAGCATCCACTGTAGTATCGCCGACAATATGATTTGTGCAAATTATTCTTGGAAAGCCAGAAACTAAATGACAGGCGACTGCAGAGCTGCAAGAATCTTTTGTTCTACAACAAAAGGCACCACCATAAATTCTATGCTGAATTCGTTCAAGCGGAGTACCGGATTAACTGTCCAGCTGACAACCGGATGCACGGTTCTCAAGCAGAGCACCACTCTTGTTATACAGAGTCTGTACGGCTTTTCATTTCAGGCTGCAATTAATTTACCTTAACAAGTTTTTTTGTGAAATTGTAAATCAGGCGGCTTTTGCATTTTCTTATGAGCACTTTAAGCGCAGTTTAACTTTTTCTTACAGGGCGTGTCACCCTGACCTTGATTAATTTCATCATTTCGTTTACAATCATTTCATCTTGATATTAGTAATTATTTACCAGTCAACCAGATTTCGTGTTGTAGTGAACCGCTGCAATGGTTTATGTTAAGCCAAGGAATCGACTAAACCCACCTAAGCGTCGCGTAAAGAAGGAGCAGCTAATTAAGAAAGCGCGCCATGCGCAAGCGAATGAGAAACGGAAGGACGCCTTCTGGCGGAACAACGGAGCTTCCCCATCTTATTCTTGTGCGTCTCTTCGCAGTACGCTGCCACCTCCCGCCGTGTCCGGTTCCAGTGGCGCTCGGGGGAAAAGCGCTTCACTGCCCCGCAAGGCTCCCGCTCCAAGCGGAAGCGACGTGAACAGCCACCTGGTATCCGGACAGCGCGAGGGCATCGGAGCAGGCACGACGCAACCGGCGCTAGGAGTCAATGTGGTTGTTTCCACCAACGCCACAGGTACGGTTAGCCATGAAAAACTTTGATGTTTTCTCAAACTATCCTGCGAAAATAAAATCTGTGCGAGATGTATGCATTATGTAGTTTTCGAGGCATTTTTTATAAAAATTTGTCTGGAAACCTGTGTGTATATTTTTGTTGTTATCCATTCACGCACTGAAAAGTTATCGAATGAATTATAACTACGCTACCATAGAGATTTTCTAATTCTATAGCGTAACAGTGATTATGGATGCGCAAACACGAATTTTAGGCACTTTCTTGCTCGTTTACTTATACATTTGATGCACTTCAAATTCGACTTGCTTATCTGCTTTTAGAACGGCGACAACCTCCTAGTCGTCCTTTAAGGGGCACTCGAATGCAGCACGATGCGTCTGCTGCCCCTGTCCCAGTACCTCTCGGCACTTCAGCGCCGCAACCGCCTCTGTCCGTGGCTGCGCACCCTAAGAAGACCGCAGTGACGCGCCCAGTCGAATTCCCAGGTGCGGTCGTCTATGCATGGAAACCGAGACAGCAGGTGGCGAAGTTCAAGAAGTCGGATCTTCCTCAAGGGCTCGCTGCGCCGCCGGCACACGGTAGGGACCAACCCGACCTCGTCACTCCCCATACCGCCCGTAGAGGGGCATCTACGACTGGCCGTTCGGATGGCTCGACATCGCAGAACGTTGTCCCCGCCCAGAGGCGTAAGCGGAGAACCGCGGTGGACAAAGCAGATCCGCCAGCAGAACAACCTCCGGCCTTGTTAGCTTCGGGAAGTGACGTGTTGTCTCTGGACCGGCCTGCAGCAATTTCTGTTACAGCGCCGCGCCAAAGCGCCAGACTGCAGAAGGACCAGCAGAATCTTCCAGCTGTAGCGGCGAGGAATGTTGGGAAGCGGCCGACAGAGTGCAGCACGGCGCCGCCGGTACAGCCTGCTTCTCCTTCCCCACGTCGTACTGAGCGACAGCAAGATGACAGGCAGAAAGCGGCCGTCACGGTGAAGAATCTGAAACGACCGACGGAAAGTAGCGCATCACAGCTGGCCCAGTCTGCTCTCCCCTCTCCACCTGCACTTCGTCGTAGCGCCCGAATGCAAGAACACCAGCACCAGGACCCAGCTGCAATGGTGAAGAATGGAAAGCGAGCGAGTGCTGCAGCAGGAAGAGTGGAGAATTCTGCTTCCTCTCCGTCTGGTAAGCGCTTAATAAACCACTGCTTTTCGTTGTCAGTATATCGCCGCTCGAACAATACCAGTTCTGCTCGTTAGAAAGTTAGGGTCAGGTCTTCGAAATTTCGCTAACGGCACAGCCGGCGGGAGCAGTGCTTTTAGACATTTGTGAAGGTTTGCAGCCTGTTGACTTCCGGTGTAGCAGGTTACATGTAATGCGCCACAGATAAATCGAAACTTATTGAAATCAGCCAATTTAGCATGCCGAAACAGAGAAGCAACGTTTTCAAGCGTTCAGAAGACACTTGCAGATACTTATTCAATTCTAAGGAAACTAGAAAAAACCGCAGTGACGTTGAGTTATTTTCCGGAAACGGTGTCTGCAGCAAAGATGATGGAGAAAATTTGCTGTTGACCATTTTCGATTTGCTGCATCGCACTCGCGATGGTGGCCGAATTTTTCCGCTGCCACAGTAGTCCAAAAGTGACCGTTGTCCACCCGATTTAAGGAATATGAAGTCCAAATAGTGGATGTTCAGGTTTAATATATTCCGCCGAAAAGAGGAACTACAATTGCAGTCGATCACGAGACGATCTTGTGGCTGCATCCCTACAATGTACGTCAAATTTCCTTAGCGACGAAAGCGCTTTATCCCTGTCCAGGAATGCGGCGTCTTTTGCAGTTTTTCAGCAGTTAACTTCACGACTGTTAGGACGCTCTTGGGTAAAATGTTCGTAGAAAAGGCTGTGGAAACGCTTCCGCAAAAACAAGTTTTAATGATGTACTTCTGTCGGGATTGTTAGCATCAACGTCGGTTTGCATTTTTCCCTGCAATCCTGCGAGTGTTCAGCATTTAGATGATGAAACATCTTATAAATTACCACGCACGGAGTTAGGTTACAGAAAAGATAGCAATTTCAAATTTGTATCTGTAAAACATGGCGTTCAGTAAAACAGGTGTTTTGCGAAGTGCATCAGTTCTGTATTTAGCAGCGTGGATTCGTAATCGATCGAAACGTAGTAATCGGTAGTATTAATAAAATATACAAGTATGTGAAGTGTTAAAACTATCGTATCGTAGCGACAACAGCTATCGTAACAGCGTCCTCCATTAAAATACAGGTTGCTGCGCTTATTCTATGCTTACTATTTGTTAATTTTGTAACAGTCAATGCCAAAATGAAATACTTTTCATTTGCAGCGCGTACAGTCGTGACCGGGAAGCGTCGTCCACTAGCCCAGCTCAACGAGAATGCTATTGAGGCGGAGTCGGCGGAGCGTGGAAAGCCTACCCGATCCTCCCCTCAACACCCTCGTCCCCTCCCAGTCGCTCCCAATCGTCGCGAGAAATCTCTCCACGATATGATGGTGGACCTGGCCAATCCACGGAGGATTATCTGCACGGCGGATCTGTTCAAACGCCAGGGCATGAAGAACTTTAGGAAAATCGGGGAGGGGTCTTACGCGGACGTGTTTTGTGCTACCCGAGGCAAAGAAGATATTGTCCTTAAATTTATCCCCGTAGATGGAGAAATTGTGCGCGACGTCGGCGTGGAAAAACAAATTACGGTCGACGATCTGCTCTCCGAGGTCCTCATATCGCTGAAGGTGACGGAGAAGCTGTTAGCCGAGAAGGGGCAGTTTTCCGCTCCTGTTTTCGTTCGCACACATTTTGTCAAGGTCAGTCTTTTATGTTTTAGGCGCATTCATCGTAACAAAAGCTTTGTATTTAAATAACTGATATGAAATGACATATGATACGAATAGTGCTTGCAGTGTTTGAAGCAGAACTTTGTTTGCATGAATCCATATTTAATATCTAATAGGTATGTTAGTAACCGCCTGACAATCAGTTAATACACTTAAGGGAAATGGCCCGGTACATAGCGTCAAAAATGGGATACATACGCTAAAACTTCGCTTGCGCGCACTCCGAATCATTATTTTGTAATACGTTATGTCATTCTAAAGCTAAATGATTTGTATGCATTGTTCTGAAAACCGTTCGCGCAACATCGGTTGCTGAGATAGTGTATTAAAATGGGCGAAAAGTTTAAATGCATTGTTGTGTACCAAAGTCTGGTTATTATCCGATCTTCTTGAAACTTTGCTGTAAAGGCACATGGCTATAAAGTCGAAAGTGAACTAATTTCAGGTCCATAGCACTTTCCCATAATTTTACAATGAATTTTAAAATTTTGAAATTCATTTTAAAATCGGAAAAAAATGCTATGGATCTGATATTGGTTCACTTTCAACTTCATGGTCATGTGCCTTTACAGCAAAGTTTCAAGAAGATCGGATAATAACCAGACTTTGGTACACAACAATGCATTTAAACTTTTCGCCATATTTTAATACCGAACGGTTTTCAGAACAATGTATACAAATCATTTAGCTTTAGAATGATATAAAGTATTACAAAATAATGATTCGGAGTGCGCGCAAGCGAAAGTTTTAGTGTATGTATCCCATTTTTGACACTATGTACCGGGCCATTTTCCTTAATACTTAGTTATATACACTTATACAGTAATCAAAAGCATGAAAGATTATTTAGAATTACGAGTGAACTACTTAGACTTAAACTATACGGCTGTTTAATTCTGCATTGCGTACCTTGCTTGCGAAAGCGAACTTTGCCGGGATTCAGTGTTTCTTTTTTTTGACAATGGTGATACCTTTTAGCATGACTGTTTCAAAATCTTAGCCTCACATATGATCAGTGAATTCGGTTCATGTGTAGATATGCTGTGGTCCTTATCCCACGGAGCTCGCGGCTACTTGCGATTTATTTCGGGAGGAACGGGGTCCTGAGAGCCAAAATCTTTTACCAGCGGAATACCAGCCGACGCAAACCTTTGTCCTTATTGGCCTGGCGCAGGGTGGGGTGGATTTAGAGAAGTTCGGGTTCTCTAGTACCAGCCAACTGTGGAATGCCGTGCTCCAGATGGCGCTCGGTCTGAGCATCGCCGAAGATGCACTGCAGTTCGAACATCGCGACGCCCACCTGTCCAATGTGCTCATCAAGTCAACTGACGCTGAGCTGACATACTTTAAATGGTGAGTTCCATGCAAAATTTAGATAGTAATTGGGGAAACTCTCATGTTATTAAAGCATACCTAAACAGTTGTCCTTGTAATTCGGGCGATAACCGCAGCGGCACAATAGGCGCACTTCGTATCAGGCTGGTACACGACCGCGCCCGTATTACGGGAAGAGACCCGATGCATGGTACATGCAAGTGATGCAACCAGTATACAAGCCTTTGTAGACGAATCTTCCGGCCACAGAATTATAAAAAAAGAAGCAAAAACGGGTTTGGCGGTGCACGAAAGGGGAGACTTTAATATCCAATTTGGTGCAATGTATCGGGTCGCTTTTTTGAAGACACCAGACGTTCATTCGAAGTAAAGCATAACTGCCTTTTTACTAATTCATGGGCTTTAACAGGGGCGAAAAACGTTATGCGATCCCGACACACGGAGTGAACCTTCGGCTGATCGATTTCACTTTGTCGAGAATTCAGGACGAGGGCCGGGCGATCTTCAACGACCTGGCGCGCGATCCGGCTCTCTTCACGGGGCGAAGTGCGCAGAGCAAGGTTTACAAAGCCATGAAACGTGCAACAAAGAACTGTTGGAAGAAGTTTAGCCCTGCCACAAACATTTTGTGGACAAAATACATCCTGTCGTCTCTGCTGGAAACGCACGCGGAGCTGCTGGAATCGGCGAGCAAAGAAGATGATCTCGCGGCCAAGGAAAAACTGCTGCACTTGAGCGAGGTGCTAACCACAGTGCGGTCGCTGCGTGATCTGGACGATGAATTTTTTGAAGAGATGCGGATTTAAATCTGGCTTACTCTAACCTCACCGGATGAGCTCGGCCCTTCTCAACGATGAGCACCGGCGCTCGGTTTCCCCACCCTTCTCGCATGACATTGATGGCCTCCATCAGGATGCGATTCCCCGTGTTTTCCCCGCGGTAATATAGTTGATCCGCTGCGATGCCATCTGCGTCACCCACCGTGTCTGCTAGTTAATTTTCTTGTCAAAACGTTGTGACCGGTCCAAATTTGAAGTGGCCGATTAGGACGGCACAATGTACAGTATATATTTTGCTCAACCTTTTTTTATTGTATTCAACTGGCTTTAGGGCTGGTAATTTTTGTGTTTCATTTGTCCGTTTGTGGCGTAATTATTTTTTAATGAACACCTTGTGATTGTATAATTTGTATTGATCCATGATGCACCTGGTGTCATCAGCGCTTGAATCAGAGTATATTCATGACGAGAGCAGTTTTAGAAAATTAATGATATCTCACAGTTTAATAAAGCCTTTATACATTTTTATTCCATATTTTACAACTTGCCCACTAATTTTTCGACGCGTTGACATAAATTATTAAACAATTACAGATACTTAAACTCAGTTGCAAACTATTGTACAATAAGGTCAATAAAGTATGAAGAAGTGCGATGCTAAAATCCGGTGAGTCAACTGAGAAACGAGGTAGCATTAGACAATTTCCAACTGTAGGGAACAACGGAAAGTTCCGTGAAAGAAGGAAAAAAGAAAAACGAAGGAGAGTTGAGTGGGCTAACAAAGCCCAGCGCCACAATTCCTCTTGCGTTTCGACTGTTTGGTTGACACTTGATTTCGCATGTGACTACGGGGAGATGCCAACGGCGCGATATCATTCTCTGGTGCAGTTCCCTAGCATCCACGAACAGTTGTCATTACCTTGCCGGTTTTTTTGCGGGCATTCTTTCACAAAGTTTTCTTGCCAACCGGAATGCAAATTAGTATTACGCATCCGTACTGGTATTTCGTTCTCATATTTTATTTCGACTCTCCTTGTTTGTGAATGATTTGCTTACGTAGTTTGGTTACTGTAGCGTGGGGCCTTATGGGCGCCCACGTGCTTTCAACGGCGAAACAGCGGCGAACCCGGATAAGGCTTTAATGCCGAAATCTAACATGCGCACCGTGGCGCAGCAAACACCAGACTAACGAGGATGGATTCTGCAGCCAGTGCAACTGTGCTGCAGATCCGTAAACACACCGAAGTATGGGGTGGAAATCCCCAGAACAGCAAAACACAACGGCGAATGGCCAACCATGACGACGAAGCTATCGGCCCTCACATTACTTAATTTTAATCATTTTTTGAATTTTTTTTAGTAGTCAGCGAACGGCCACACTACGCCGCGGGTTACTGTCGATTTCCATACAGCAGTCGGGGCTGGTGGAATATGGGAATATCTGGCCTCCCAAAGCTTTTAATACGGGGAGGCAACCGGAGAAAGCGCTGTGTTGCTGATGCGTGGCACGGATCTACGAGAGAAGATTAGGAGATCTTCCTGTTGCCAACCGCCTGTGCTGTCAGTTTGTCATCTACTTGAAGCCGTTAGCATTTCGGTGGAGGTGTGCGGCGATGTACACGTGAAGGACCACTGTTACACAAGTGAGCACTGCGCGGTTACGAATGCTCCCCTAGAGTAACATCAGTGCGTAACTGTAGCAACTCCCATCCGATTCTGTCTTTGCTGCTTTTCTTGTTCTCACGTTATTAGCCATCAACACGGAATAATTCAGCGTGGCATTCTTTCTTGCTGGTCTTAGAATTTTAGTTGGACAGATAACGAGGAGTCTACAGGAAGATGGTGAACGATTAGTGTACGCGTGGAATGTGGATGTGGCGATTAACGGCCTCCTCCAACATGGCTGCGTCATCGGCCTGCAAGAGTCCTCGATGAGCAACGGTTCTCCGCCGCGTTTGATTGTCGACTTCGGAAGCCCACCGAGATTTCCATTGACATAGTATTGCTGGTTCCGTACTGGAAAATCTGGGATTGCTTTACCGCGCGATCAGGCAGCGCGCACGAAGGAGACCCGAGATCGTGTAGAGGGCTACTTGAGCCGACTTCACGACGGCCGCAATCATCCGTGGAAATAGTATCCAGGGAGAATGCTGAATCCCCTTGCTGCCGCCGCCGGAGATTGCTGCCGCTCAAGCATGTGGCGTCGGTCCAGGTGACGATGGGCGGAAGGTGCCGTCGCGACTTGTTTTGCCACATTCTGATTCTGGATGCCTCTGAAGACCTGTCAAGACGAAACCTGTTGCAGCAGCCCAGCGGACTATTTCCTGGTTCTCTGCAAACCCCCACGATCTGCATCCCCCGTACAAGCACGCAGTGCACTGCGCGCTGGACAACGACTGCTGCCGATGAAGTGTTGGACTCTACGAAGAGCGTCATGGATGGCGCTGGCATCCGCATCGACCGTTTGGTCGTGTACCGGGGACACGCGCGACTGCTCGATTGTAGCCGTCAGAAAGGTTGACTGGCTCACGGCTCACGGAACAAACCTTTTTGCCGGCAAAAAGGTTTGTTCCGTGAGCCGTGAGCCTGTCAACCTTTCTGCCGGCTACACTCGATTATTCCTACAGGGGATGGGAAGTGAACGAGTTATCCACCGCGATGACCGCGCTTATCTCCTGGATGTTGGCGTATTGCGATCGTGTGGTTTGGCAGGAATACACCACCAGATAGGCGCGCCCATGGATTTTCGCATTCCCGCTGCCGTCTTCAAGCGGGGACACTTCCAGGAATCGCATGATATTAACCGGTTGGAAATGCAGGAGACGCCGTTGAATGCGCAGCACGGTGTTCGTGCATGGTGAATCCAGAGTACGAGCCAGGAAAGCGATTCAGGTATTGACAGTAAACGGACATATATTTATTATTCTACTTCACAGTTTTTCTTCCGGAATCTTGCTGAATGGAGGTTATAAAATGGGCTCCGTCAACTTCGATGTATGCATTTAGTCTGCGTGATTGTAGAGTATTGGAGGCGGCACAGCTTTCACTCTACAGAATTTTGGTCAATAAAATTTACAAAATGCCAACCGGCAATCAGTCCGATAGCTGAGTGATTGAAACGGAATCATGATTGGAGAATGGAGCGCTGCAGCCGTGCGTTGACAGTATATGTATTGCGAGTGATTGCAGTGACTGCAGTATTTTTTTGACTGGGGGTTCTGACAAAATTAAAAGGGATCTACTGTTTATAAACGGTATTCGATTCTGCTGGAAATTATTATTTCTTGCGAATTTCTACTTTGGGCGTTTGATTATAAGGGTACTCGAAACCGGGAAATGTTTTCCAGGAGACAACAGGCTGCTCTTCGGTGACCGGAACAATAGGCTACATAATCGTTAGGCTGAATTTTTTTGCCATTTCGACTGGGTCAAACCGCATTTTTATTCTGTTCGGCTGTAATTTAAACCTCGCTGTATTGCAAGCCACGCCCTCAGCCTGGCGACCCATAGTGGAAAAAATGCCTAACACATACGGTAATAATAAAAAAATTGAATAACTAGTAATTTGTTCGTGTGTGACCTAGAGTGATCTTTAAGAGAACCTGTCCGAACTTGACGCGGCACCCCTGTATTTTTCATGTAGGCGCTGCACGGTAGCACCGGCAAGCCAAATAATAATAATAATACTTGTAAATATGTTTCTATTTAATGTACACTGGAGGGCAATTATTAGAAATTACAAAAATTGCGGAAGATCCGGGCAAGCATTTACAGGGCGAAATGAACTGTACCAAGATTACAGTAATTACGCCAGCTAATTTTCCGTATTTATTCCGAATCAATGCGCGAGCCAACATGATAGCTGCCGTAGGAAACGTTCGGAGGAAGCTCTGTTCTATCTGTAGTATGTCCGTAGAATGCACTCCGCAAAGGCGCAAACAATGTTATCGACTATAGCAGAGTTTTTAAGCATTTCAGATGATATTATATAGATTAACTACATGTCACCCGAAACGCTGGAAAAATTCTGCAAGTGGGGAATCGAAAATCCCGGACACTGAATTGAACTGGAGTTCAGGCTGAATACGGCTAGAGACCGCGGGCTGTTTTTTAGGCAACAGGACTGGTGAAACGCTACGTGTAAGTTATGGACAACATTAGAGTATACGAAACAATTGTTCGAAAAGCTCGAACCACGTTTGTAATGAATGGCTGTGTTCCTGCTGTGATTAATAATCCCGCGAAAGGCAGACGCAGACGCGGCTCTGCGTCCTCTATAAAGATCCACTAACCCACCGATCCGCGGCTCTTCTACTTTACCGGTCATTTCCGCCAACACTGCTATTAGCAACATTGAAACCTTTTTGCTATCACGCAACCGATGATGCGATGACTAATGTTAATTGGACTAAATAACTTTCGTTTATTACTATGATTCATTTCTTTATTTCTCACGCAGGCGCTGCACGATTGGACTGGCAAGCCATTCTGCAATTATAATACTTGTAAATATATTTATATTTATGCTAGGGACCAATTACTGGTAAGTAAGAAAACTGCGGAAGATTAGGGCACAAGCGAACTGTACCAAGAGTGCAGTACGTCAGTTGCTTTACCGCATTTCGACCGAATCGGTCCACGCTCCCACGTGTGGTTCTGTAGGAAATATTCTGAAGGAGATTTGTTTTATGGATAGTGTACTGTATATGTAGTCGCTAAAAGAGATTGCACCACTTTTAAATCCTGCCATTGTCTGCCCTGCCGGGCATCGCACACACTAGTTTATCTGTGATATATGTGCACAGAACGCAACCACAAGCAATGCAATCTTCTAAGAGCAGGTATACAGATACTATATATGTATTGTTATGTATACAGATACTACTGCTCGTTATCTAATCGCTTAATGCTTCGTGCCTATTTATTCTACTTTACAGTTGTGCATTAAAGGCATCAAAGCCATGCTGAAATGGACAGTAAACCGGGTTCGATCAGCTTTGATGTATTTAGTCCTCATGATTACAGAC